AGAGTCCTTTGCTACATTTAGGTACAATCTAAATTTCTTTACTCAAGCATGGAAAAGATTGTTTGTTTTCCATTTGCGAGGAAAGCAGAGCACTGTGACCAAATAAAAGAATTATGTTTAACTGGAAACAATTATTAAGAGTCTCCATTTCAAGAAGAAAATAATGCAAGTTTGTTTCTGTGTGTGTGTGTGTGTGTGTGTGTGTGTGTGTGTGTGTGTGTGTGTTTAAAGGGGGTACAAAAATGCTAACATTTAATACCTTTTATAAAAGTATTGTGTGTGCATTTCTGTCTTAGACTGTGAGCATTTGTCGATGAATAACTTTAATCTTTTAATTGGAGTGTTTAATTGATCACATAATAGAACACATGTATTTTATTAAGAATAATAACAACAATAGCTAACACTGGCTGGGCACTGCTCTTTGTGTGTGTGTATATATTATATATATATATATATATATATATATATATATATATATATATATATATATATATATATATGGGCTTTAATAAGGAAACATGTATATATTGAAGTCAATATGGACTGAAGCCATCACAGGCAAGAATGAGCCAGTATTTGTGATGTATAGGAAAATGGCCTTAGAGTTTAAGAATATTTCTGTTGAAAAATGGAGTTGGGTAGTTAAGATTTAAATAGAATATAAGTAGATTATCGACAACTTTAATGACAAATTCACAGTTTTAGATTTAATCTAGTAGGAATTACACACACATTCATGTAATATATATGTGTAACTATATTAAATTGCACATTCTAATTTAAAAAGTGAAGTTCTAATTTAGAACCACTAACCTTAAAATACTCTTAGTGTTTATTGAATAGTTTACTTTTTTTTTAGAATGTACACTACACAAGTGTTATGGACTGAATGTGTTCTCTCCCTCAATTCACATGTTGAAATCCTACCTGCAAAGTGATGATAGTATTAGAAAGTAGACCCTTTGGGAGATGAGTAGGTCACTAGGATGCAGCCCTCATGAATGGGATTAATGCTCTTATAAGAGACCCCAGAGAGCTCCCTTGCCTCTTCTGTGAGCACACAGCAAGAAGACTGCTCCCTTTGAATAAGAAAGCATGCTCTCCCTATACACCGAATCTACCAGAGCCTTGTACTGGACTTCAGCCTCCAGAAATGTTTGTTTAAGTCACCCAGGCTGTGGTAGTTTGTTACAGTAGCCTGAATGAACGAAGACAATAAGTACGATAAAATAATTCTTTGAAATATTTAAAAATAATTGTGACAATCAGGTAAATATAATTTGCAAAATCTCCCTCCTCCAGTGCTTACAAAAACAAAAACAAAGAAACAAACACCACAAATGGTAAACCAAGCAAACAAAATTACTAACAACAACCAACAAAAGTAAGGGACCCAACTTCAACCATCAATTTCACAGTCAAGTAACAGTCAAGAAAAAAACAAGGTGATGACCTGACTCATCATGTCTTCTAAACCCAACCCACAGATTCTCAAGACAGTGTTATAGGGCAAAAGGTGATTTATTAAATCCAGATAATTCTTATATTTTTAAATTAGGGAGAAGCAGATTGAGGGGCTACAATGAAGCCCAGGGAAAGTCATAGCAAATTCCTCAGTTCTCTGTGGGACCTCAGCAGAGGCAGAGTAAACTATATCAATGTTACCATTTTTAACTCTTGGACTTATAAAAATATAATTAGATAGTTCTATGATTCATAGTAAAAAATAATCACAGGACATACAAATCAGATTTTAAAACTCTGAAACAAACCTCAATGCTCTTCCTAGTCCCCCAGAATGTTCTAATACCTTTTGGTTCTGTAGAAGGGCTCAGTAAAAGTCTGAATTCAAGAAAGGTTAAAAATTCACAGAGGCATTGCAGGGGATTAATAGAGTAATTGAATAACTAAGGAAACAAAATTAAGACTAGAACAATACTATTGTAGAACTAAGTAGTCCATTAGGAATAGAAAACATCAAAAGTGAGGTTATTATCATAGAAACTTGAGATAATCACTGTATTCCAAGTAAAAATTAAATGATAACTAAAAGATAATCAATGTGAATGATGCTAATGGCATCCAACATATGGATAAGTGTCTATGTCAAGTAGACAAGCCAAGAAATTCTTCTGGAAGCTGGAAGAAATTTTTCTTGAAACGAGAAATTGATTCTGTAAGACCTAGAGGGCATATTTTCTGGAAAAAATTGAGGAATGACAACTGATAATTCAACATGTTCCGATTCTGATTAGGATTTTGAACTTCCCATTTAAAGAATTCTTCAGGTAGGCACCTAGGTGCAAGGAATAAAAACAAAACCTATCTAACAAGGATAATATACCTGCCTTACTTCTTGCATCTCCACCAGTGTTCACTGTCCAAATATAATGAAGCAGTGTCTATAAATTTTGGAGGAAATGAAAGTGGAATCCAAGAATATTACCAGCAGCCAAATTATCAGTTATAAAGACAATAGGAAAATATATGTCTATGAGCACTTCTTGGTAAAACTACTTGATGTTGAAATCTACCCAATAAAATGATGAATGGAGAATGGATGAATGACAAACATCAGGATATTACACAGTGTTTGAAAATAGTGGAGTTGACTACAAATTTATGAGGGAAAGTGTGAGCCAAACTTTTATTCCCAGATTAGCTAGCTATTCTTTGAGTATAAAAGCAAAAACTCAAGGAACATGAAAGTGTTGAGGCTTTTGTTAAAAAACAAACAAAAAAGGCTACTTATGGATGAAATTCATCAAATGAAGGTAATTAAAATGAATTTAGAAAAAGAGAGATTTTCGTTAAGTCAATTTCCTTGAATGTAGGTAAACTAAATTATGGGGATTATGAGTATATTATAGGATATGAACCTAATAAACCTTGTCAGAGTAAAAGTAATATACTTGACCAGAACTAGACTATGGGTAGAAGTTAAAATGTACCTTTCTCTCTCATAAAAGGAAGTCAATTAATACTGGTTTACAAATAAAATTCATTGCCATTAGAAGTCCAAAGTTTTAATCCTGTCCACGATATCTTTTTTTAACATTTTGAAACTAACTGAACTCTCTAAAAGTGAAGAATTACCTGAAATTTAACAGCATCTTCAGTTTTACTATATTGGTTTTTTGCTAACATTAAATACTTTAATTAAAATGACATACATATCATGATCTCATTGTAATAAAATATATGAATGCTTTTTGTTCCTTCATCTCTTTGTTCTACCAGTTTACTGTATACATTATTTATAAAGAATGGTTGGGATGATACTTATCCAATGTTCAGGGTAATTAGTTCCAGGTTGTGGTATTTTGGGGTGAATTTTTTTTTTACCTTTTTAAAAAGGCTTTCCACATTTAAAAAAAAAATTTTAAGAACATATACCTTTTTTCATTGAAGGAAGACTTAAAAAAACAAACAAACAAACAAAACTGGTAAGTTTTAAAAACCCATTTACCAAGCATTTGCTAAATGTAAAAAACATGAGTTCCTGTCATCAAGTATCCCATACCCTGTTCTCAAGAATTTCACAATTTTAATACTTAAAAAATGAAATCAGAATATCCTTCATGTTTTCATCCCAGACCTTAGTTATGTACATGTAAAAGAAAATATTAAGTTTTTTTTTTTAAAATTCAGAATTCCCTTACACCCGTTTGTTGAAGCTCTGATGATTTGTGGAAGATCTGGGGATGTGGCTGCCTTATTTCATACCTGTCAAGTCAGAGACTTGGTAGGATCTGAGGATTATATCCTACTTGTATGCAAAAATGCCTGCCAATATCCTAAATATTGGCAAAAGACATGAAACGTCTGAGTCAGAGAAAAGACAATGTACTGTAATAGAAGCAGTAGGGAGAAGGACAGTGTAGCACTGGTTTTCTGACTTGTAAGTCCCACAAGGAAAGGCAGTTAGGGCTAGGTGTTGCCGGGCAGTGGGGTGCATTGGAGGAGTCGTGATATTGGGAAGCACTGGGCTTACACAGAAGCTGCTGGCAAACCAGCCCATCCTCCCCTGAATGAGACATTCTCTGTATTGCTCAGGAATGCCAAGCAAACCTGATCCAAGGAAGAGAGATGCCTTTATCTTTACTTTCTCGAACGTAGGTACATTTGCTCCAGGTACATTTATCTTTGCAAGTCTGCGTGCTGTGGACACAGAAAAGCCAATCTGGAGTAAATTAGCTGTTAATGCCTTTAAAAATGTTTGGGTATGTGAGAAACCCCTGGAAAAGTGTCTCCCTGTGGTATCTAGATGTGACTCCTTGAACAGACAATATGGCACAATGGAAACTGATTTCTTCTCTATTTCATTGTCAATATGTGGCTGATGACTATGGAGTTTTTTTTTTAAAATAGTGTTCTTTCTGAACTTCATACTCAATAAGAACTTTAAACCTAAATAAAATTCTTGAAATTTATGAGTCAACTAATTCCTATAGCAAAGCAAAGACCTTAAAACCTTTACTTTTTTTTGCTCAAATATTTCTTCAAAATTTTGTAGAATTAAAGCTGAATTCTACTGAAGAGGTAATATTCTTAGAGTCAGTGTTTGATGCGTTACTGAGGAACATGAATTTTATTTTAGAATTACATGGAAAGCATTCCAAATGTAATGCCTGTATTAACCTCTGAAATGTGACTTCCTGTTATAGCAGAGATATCATTTTCAGATCATTTGCTTAGTAATTAAGTTGTTCATATTGTTGTAATAGAAAAAAATAAGAATCAATTACAATATTGAACTACATGGAATAAAAATTTCATTAGGTAAGTTTTTGTAATATATGTACCATTTCTTCTAAATCTAGTCTGGGTGTACCCCTAGTAGCGGACCTTTCATCTCTTTTATTATCATTGCCCTAGTTCAACTCTTTATCACATATTATTATGATAATTGCATATTGCTTTCCCTGTGTCTAGTCATTCCAGGTTTTGTTAACCCTATTTGTGAACTCTTTTTTTCCTCTATTTTTTTCTCCTAGCATGTAAAAGTCACATCTGTGGCTCTGAGTCATACGGGCAGAGATCTTCAGCAAATCCTCTTAGAGCAGTGCTACAATTTTGTTTGTGTGAATGTAAGTAGTAAATGCAAATGACTGAAAGAGCTAGAGGATCTGTATAAATGTAATGTGCAAGATAAGTTCTTTTTCTTGATTCTTAAGTATTTGAATTTAAGATTTTGATAGATGAGTAGTTATTTAATATGTATTTGGAAATTTTACTTTTTATCCTTTCAAATAGGAAAATAACATTTTTAATAACTAATTCCCATAATGAGAAGACAGTGATATTTCTTTAGACAATATTTTCAATTTTCTGCCTTGTATGTGGTATAAAGCAGATAAGATGACACAGGTTTCCATTAATAAACAGTTCAAATTTCAATAAGTATAAGCTTATGGTTATCCTTTAAAATTGTGTAAAAGTAAAAATTGAGCTTGATAAATATTTTGAATGGTTATGTAAAAGATTTGCATTTTGCTCCTTGAATTAATTTTTAAATCATTTAAAGAACTTCTTCTCACTTCCTTTTATTTCCCTGGTCTTTCAGGTTATGGCGTCTGAATTTGAAGAAACCCAGAAACTGCTGGATGTGCTTAAAGAGAATAATCTTTCCGTTTTGTATCCTGTTGTTATCATTTCAGTAAGTGAATGAATTAATGTAGCTTTGTCTCTTCAAACTATGCTTCGTTTCTTGGAATTCAGCTTTTCTATTTAACAAAATTTCATCAAACTGAGGAAATCCACCCAAACCCAAAAGAAGAAACTTTTCATTGTGGATTTTTGAGTTTACTCGCTTGTTATGACTTCTGTAACTGCCTGCCCTTTATTACTGCAATTTTTTGGTTGAAGAGACAGGTTTGGAAAACAATTTAATTTACCTTAGCAACTAATTTCATTTCTTTTTCTTCATTAAAATCTCAAAGTGTGTTGCTGAGTTGATTAAATGTTTGGATAATTTGAAAGAGCTTTAGTTAGCATATTACCAGGATGCCATTAGAGGAGAAATCCTGATATTTTTTAAAAAAAAAAAAAAAAAAAGGAAAAGGAAAAAATCAGAAGAAAGAGAATTTATTAGGTTGTCTCATCTTCTCTGTCCTGTGGACAGCAAAAGTAGAGTGAGCAACAGATGAAAGGGAATTTTGAGGAGATCTTTTCTGGGAAAGACTAAAAGTGGTATTTTTCATTCAGAATTGACTTGATTGGCCTATTGAACTGTCAGAGCGGAATATCAGAGAGCAAAACCAAGAAGGAACAAAATCAGAGGCCAGGCCTCCCACCAGCAGAGAAGCAGAAGCTAGTCCGCTGCAGTTTGCTGTGGGGACGGGTTCCAAACATGAAAGTCTCAAAACAATTGGTTAGCCATTGCCAAGTTTCTAAAGCGCAGGCCTATTTCATAGTGTGGAAATTTAAATCTTGTTAGATAAGATTATTAATACAAAGTAAAGATAATGTGCGCTACAAATAAGTATTATGGCTCTAGATAAGCTGTGCAAGTAGAAACAAATTAGCAGTTGTGGGAGGTTTCCTTCATTGGCCTGTTGTGTTTGGTTATATGCCCTGAAGATAAGTTCCATGGGTCCTGTTGATATGGAAACCCAATTTCACATGTGACTGATTTCAACAGAAATATAGATGTTTTCATTACAGAACTATAGATGTTTTCATTGAGGGTTTTTTTAGGAGCCTTATGAAATGTACCCGATGTTGGAAGATTCTAAGGTTCTATAGGATAGCGGTAGGTTCAGAGTTCTGGGTTTGGCCCTCTATTCCTCTCTCCACATTAACTTGCTTAGAAATTTTATTCCGTCCATGTTCGCAGATATTATTTCTAAAGAGGCAGTGCATTGCCATGACGAGAGCAAGAGCTTTGAAGTCAGAATATCTCGGTTCCACGGTCAAGTTCCTTAACTTGTCTGAGGCTTACTTTCTTCATTTTAGAAATGAGGCGAATAACCCTACATCTTAGATCATTGTAAGGATTAAAATGAATGAATGCAAAGTGTAGTTCGTATCACATTGCTGGGCTCTTGGCAGGCCCACAATGTTGATTTTATTGAATAGTCTACCCTTCTGTCCAGTTTGTGTGAGACGTTCACTCAAAGCTCACTTTCATGGCTGTCATTCCCGAGCTTCAGTCATACACTTTCCACCATTCTATTAGGAATATCCATTTGAGTACTTCGCTATCATCTCACACCTAGCCTATCAGATCTATCACAAAAGCGCATTCCCCATCAATTGACTTCTTTTAGTGGCAATGCAGTCGGGTCAGGCCCCCGTGGGAATCTGTGTCATCTTTGAATTTTCCTTCTACATTTTTCCTCTGCCATTCTCTATCAAATACAAATACACACA